AGCCTCCCGAGGAGCTGGGACTACATGGTGGACTGCACCACCACGCCCGGCTAATTTTTCTATTTTCAGTAGAGATGGGATCTCGCTCTTGCTCAGGCTGGTCTCAAACTCCTGGGCTCAAGCGATCCACCTGCCTCAGCCTCCCAGAGTGCTAGGATTACAGGCGTGAGCCACTGCATCTGGCCAATTTTGCAAAATTTTTAAAATCCTCTTTTTCTATGATTTAAAAAAATGCAGCTAAGTCTTACGTTGCACAATAGGTACATTCCTGAAAATCTGACTAAAAATGGAAATTTGGGAAATGAGTGTTTGAGATGTTTTTCTGACTTAAAAAAATTAGAATTATCTCTGTGTAGTATTCTTCTGAAAGGTAAAATTCTTCTGTGTCACTGTACTTAGAATGCAAATAAAATCATTACACCATATATTTTATTTCAAATAATTTTTCTAAAGATTTTCACTCTTCTTGTTGCTTTTTCTGTAGGGCCAGGATCTTAAAGTGAAATAATGGAATATGATAAAAGATGAAAGAAAATATATCTAAATAGAGCTGGGTTTCTCTTTCACTGAAGCATTTCCCATCTGGGGTTGAAGAGACTGGGGAATCTTGAATTGTTGACCACTTATGAGTGTCATGTTTTAGGCACTTTCTTTCCCATATTTTCTCCAGGTTTTACATCTTGTGCCTCCATTGTAGCTCTGTGATGGAGCAATGAGGTCATAAAATCAGCAATATTGAAATGTAATTTAGAAATAATTGAATAGAATACGGCTGTTGTTCTAGGCATGAAACAAAATTAAGCTGTCCTCTATGTCTCTCCCTTTAGGAACTTATGTTAAAAATAGGCAGAAGATAGTGTGTTAGACTTCAGTTCAATAATCTTTGGAGTCCAAATAGAATTCTTCCTAAAACAAGTAGAGGTACTGACATTAATCAATAAATACGCATGTGGATCTGGTTTCTGTAGAGATGTCACTTCTCTTAGTCTCCAGGCACCATGGTGAAGATAAGCTGGTTCACCATTCGTGTTGATTCCCAGGTCTGAATCCCAGGGAAGTGGGAGTTATTTCTCTATGAAATAATTTAAATTTCTGGAACATTAGCTTCTCCACCCTCATTCTGCTGAGACATGACTTACTTTTTTGGCCTTCCAGATATGGTGCCTGTGGCACTTCCTTGCTTATTGATTTATTTAAATAAAGTGTGGTTTGCTTTTATTTATTTATTTTTGAGACAGAGTCTCACTCTGTTGCCTAGGCTGGAGTACAGTGGCATGATCATAGCTCACTGCAACCTCAAACTCTGGGGCTCAAGTCATCCTCCTGCCCCTGCCTCTAGAATAGCTGGGACTACAAGCACAGGCCACCACACCTGGCTAATTTTTCTATTTTTTGTAGACATGGGCTCTCACTCTCGCTCAGGCTGGTCTCCAACTCTTGACCTCAAGCATCCTCCTGCCTCAGCCTCCCACAATACTAGGATTATGGGCATGAGCCACTGTGCTCACACTTTTATTTTTTTTAATGCCCAAGTTATGGGGGAAGATGAAGGAGTAATAAGGTTGAGAAATTTATTTTGTTCATCTGATTTGGTCCATTACCTGAAATCAGTAACTTTCAATCCAGAAACTTACTAGAAAAAAAAATCAGTGGATATTTACATAATCTGGGGTAGGCAAGGTCTTTCTTGGCATTATTACTAAAATAAGAATCCTAAAGGAGAAGATTGATGAATCTAACTGCATTAAATTTAAAAACTTGTGCATGTCAAAAACATTATAATCTAAAATTAAAAAGCAAAGTTAATTTAAAAATATGTCTTCATCACACCTAACAAAAGGCTTTTATCCTTAATATATAAAGAGCTTTCACAAAGCCATAGTAAAAAATACAGGCTGAGAACAGAAATAGGTAATTCACAAAAGAAGAAATAATAAATATCACATTAACGAACAAAGTGACCATGACCCAGTTCTAGTCCGTGAGATATGAGAGGCATATGGGAGGGAGGGGTGGCTTCTGAGCAGGTTGTTTTTCTGCTTGTGAATGTTGTTATGTCAAGATGTAAAACCTGGAACTACAGAAGTCATCTTGGACCATGAGGAGAGCCAGCCTTAGAATGAGGTTGTCACTGAAGGTGGCAGAGTGGAGAGTTGGAAGGAATCTGGATTTTCAATGACACCATTCAGCCACTGATTGAATTATGCCCAGAGACACCTTATTTCTTGATTTTTTTGTTGTTGTTGTAAAATAATAAATTTCCTTACTACTCCAGTTTATTTGAATTGATGTTATCTGTTACTTGCAGTTGAAAACATCCTGACTGATATAGTACATCCAGGAAAAAATAGAGTTCAGCAATCCTTCTACATAGAATTTTGCTGTAGCGTAACTCCCAGGGAGAATGAGGGAAGAATTAGGACTCAGAGGTTGTCCAAAACTAAATGGACCTCCTAGAATCTGAGTAAGTGAGAAACTGATAAAAATAGGTTTTGGTGAAATCTTTGATCAGAACATGATAAAAGGAAAGGAATTAAACATTTTTCTTCTACAACTAATTAAATCATTACTTCATATTTTTAAAGTTTTTCTTCTAGAAAAAACTTGATTTTTATTAGACAAAAATGTTCAAGCAAATACTGTTTTTTATTTTTAAAATTTAAAAGTAACTCATTCATTATTCTCTAAAATGTTTCTCTTCTCTAAAACCTTTCAATACATTTGTTTTGAAGCACGCTACTGAGAAAGTATTCACAATTAGAACATTTTACTTTCACGTATCTAAATCTATCAAGTAACCAGACTTTGATTCAACATAATTTGTTCCTGACATTTGTATAGAAGTAGATAATTTCGTAGAAATCTATCAAAACATGATGAAAAATTGATTCTGTGGTTAAAATTATTAGAGGAGTGGTTCAGCTTTGATATCTTCTTTATTTCTTTTACAAGTAGTAGAAAAATCTGTTATGTGAGCTTATCTTAATTTCTTTTGAAATTCCTTAACTTCTGTAACTTAGCTTTTTGATAGTTGTTAGTATAATTTACTGATAATTCCTTTTTATCATTCACAAATATAGCTTGAGACCTTTGCTCAGAAAGAAAAGCTCAGGTATTAATTAACAACTTTATTATTTCAAGGTTGAGTTCTGTACCCATGTGAATTTTCAGCTATGAATTATAGCTGCGGTAATTACCATATATCTTTGATAATTTTAGTTGTACTACTTGTATTTTAAATACTCTTTTTTTTCATAACTAGTGATTTTAAAGGTGGGGCATTTGAGAATTACAGTGTTTCTGGACTTTGTTTAAATGTGGAAATTCAAAACTCCAGGTTAATGATAGGAGGCATTTGAGGTGGTTGTATGTGGCACTTCTCAACCTTTGTCCACAACCCTCTTATCAGCTGTACACAAATCTCCCTCATTAATTGTAGTTCCACCTCCTCTCTTCACTAGGGAGAGCTTTACAGGCATTACCTTCAATCCAAAAATAAGCCATTGTTGGTCTGAAGTATGGGCACTTTTTATCAGTAACAAATGACTGGAACATTTCTCCTGACACTTAATCACATTACACTGACGCTGCATGATGCCTCATAACTCCCAGCGAAAAAGACTACTTTAGCAGTCATTACAATGCTCTGGAAACAAGAAACAAAAGACAAAAAATAAAGTCATTCTCCCTAGTGTATTGAAGAGTAGCCTTTGTTAGTGACTCAATCTTTACCTCTCTGTGCCTCAGTTCTCATTACATACAAAATGAAAACTACAAGAGGTTCTTGTGAAAATATTGGTAAGTTTAATATTATTGTTTTGAGAGCTTTAATTCAATAAGATAGGATGGAGGCCCTGGAGAAGCAGGGAATGATTCAAATGTGGAAGGCCTGGAATTGTAGGCTGAGGAGTTGGATCGTGACATAATGGAGGCTTGTAAAGATTATTGAACAGAGTAGTAGCATAATCATCAATATCTATGTCTTAGGAGGAAAACTGGCAGCAGTGTGTAGACTAGAGAAGAGAGAGATAGAAAATACGAAAAGTTAGGAGAGTATTGCAAAGGTTTAGACAAGAGATGTTGATGGTAATCCGTGGAAGCTGGAAAAATGGGACCAATTCAAGAGGTAATGAAAAGAATCTATTGTAGAAGCAATAGGATTTAGTTGAATGTGGCGAGTGAGGGAAAGGATTTCGATGGGACTTAGGTTTCTGTTCTGAACAGCTGAAGATGTTGCGCCATTAACTGAATGGAAGCACAGGAATTGCGTGTGTGTGTGTGTGTGTGTGTGTGTGTGTGTGTGTGTGTGTGGGTGAGAGAGAGAGAGAGAGAGAGAGAGACAGAGAGACAGAGAGAGAGAGAGAAATAGGTAAGGTGGGGCAGGAATTAAGAATGATTTTATCTTGTTTGAAATGCCTGTGGATATTACCTGGGTGGTGCTTTCCAGCTGAACACTTAGAGTGGGTCTGGGGAAATTTCATCGAACAAGGGAATACTCTTGTAATGAGAACAGCTCCTTTTTATAGCGCCCCAAACCCTGAGGTAGTTATTATCTCGCCAGCAGTAAAAGCTTGATTACAGCGCCTTCCTGCTGACTGTGTGAAGGCCCTTGGTTTCTGCAACTTCTATAGACAAAATGATAATAACTGTGATTAATTACCGTGTGGCACAATACAAAGACTCGATGATTTATTGTGGTTTCCAGAGGGCGCCTGCAAGGTTCCTCGCTGAGCCCTCGGGGCAAGGGAACTGGACAGCTCCTCCAGTGGCCTTCGGCCCTTCCTGGATCAGAGCCCGCCGGCCGCGAGCTGCCCCAGCCACGTGGGTCTTAGCTTTCGTGCCCTCCCTCACCTAGGTGCTTCGACCTTGGGCACACGGCCTCGCTGTCCTTCTTCATCGCTCACCGACCCCTGCCCCAGCGCGGGGAGGGGGCGGGACTGCTCCGAGACCCGGCCCCGCCCGCCGCCGCCGCCGCCGGCCCCGCCCCGCCTGCCGCCGCCGGCTCCCTCGGGCTGGCAGTGCGGTGCGCGCCTGCGCCGGCTCTCGCCTCGGAGCAGCCATGATGGTGGGTGTTCTCCGCGGCGCCGAGCCCGGGGCGCGCGGTGGGGGCGACGGGCGTGGGGCGGGCGCGGGGACTGCGCCGGCCTGGTACTAATGTCTCCCTTTGTGTCTCCCCCATCCCATCCTCTCCTCCGGCGCGCTGGGCCCGCCGACCCCGCAGGAAGGCCTGGACGACGGCCCCGACTTCCTCTCAGAGGAGGACCGCGGAGTAAGTTCTGCCTCCTTCTTGTTCGCAGGACACTCCCTCCCCCGCCTCGGCCCCTGGGTGTGGTTTGGGGAGAGGTCCCCGGCCGTGCGGCGCTCCCTCCGTGTCGTCCTCCTTTCGGTTTCCTCGCCGCACCGTGCCCCGCCCTCCTGCAGCCCTTCCTCCCTGGGTTCCGATCTGATTTCTGGGGGACCAGCGGCCACTTTCTTGTCTCCTACCCTGGGCCCTTCTGTGGACCTCCTCCCTCGCCTGGGGCGGGGTGCAGAATGGGATGTGGGAGTGGAGGCGGGAGCTGGAACGCCCCCACCCTCGCCACTTTGGGGCTATGAAAACCTATTCTCAGACCTTACTGGTGGCACCCTCAATTTTTTCCCGGGGTGGACCTCTCAAACTCGTCCTGCCTACTCTTCTCTCTATATATAAAACAGATATGGTACGGGCTTATTCTCAATTACCCTTTTGCAAAGGATTTTTGCAGTCGTCGAATCACAACTCTTCTCCAGTGCCCTGCCAGATTTTGCAAAGTGCTGGTAGCCCAGGGTATCTTTACTTTTTCCAATATCCAGAAAAATCTTCATCTCTTGCAGGGTTTCCTTAGTGTTGTTTTTTTCCCTTTAGTTTTTTTGAGGTATGATTGACAAATAATAATTGTATATATTTGAGATGTACAGCGTGATATTTTCATATACGTACACATTGTGAAGTGAGTACCACAGTCAAGCTAACACATACATCGCCTCACCTAGTTACCATTTGGGAGGGGGGCAGAAACACTTCGAGATCTACTGTGAGCAAATTTCAAGTATATGTTGTTACTAAATTTAGTCACCATGCTGTACATTAGGTCTCCAGAACTTACTCATCTTATAGCTGAAAGTTTGTAACCCTCAAACCCCAGTAAGTACCTTTCTATCCTTGGTGTCCTTTTGAGGTTAGTTGCATTCCACTTCAGAAAGGACCTTCAGGACTCTCATTCCTCCCTCCCACCCCCATTTGCTTTGACTGAAACGTGGTAATATAGTGCCTGGTACAAGTGAGCACTTGAAAAATATTGATATGAGATAATAGCTGCTCAGCAAGGTTCCATGGTTCCTTCACATTTAATAGCCTGCACTGTAGTTTCCTGTTTTGCTTTTTGTTATCCATCTTAGATGATGTGAGAAACACATCTGTTAGTGGGTTTTTGGTAGATGATAAAATATTGTAGGGTATTATTGCTGTCTGTAATATGAAATGAGGTAGTTAGTATAAACTTACGACCTTTATAAAGCTTTTAAATGAGAAAGATGGAAAGGGTGCTGCATACTTTTATAAACGATAAATTAATTTCTCAGTTTACACAAAAGCGTTATTTAGAATTTCTGGTTAGTGCAAAAGCATCATAGAATGTCTAGTTTCTAAAATATTTAATTTCTAGTGAATTGTAAACAAAATGTATGTGTGTAAATGTGTATATGTATCTTCTGGGATGAGAATTAGATGAATATTTATAAATTATATTTTGGATCTTAAAATGAGAAACCAGCAGAGTTATTTAATGAGATTAATTGATTATAGCACAACTAAACTGATTTTTCTAAATATAAAACATGTGATCTTCTTTATTTATATAACAACTTTGTGTCTTATTTTTGTGGCCTACCAGGAAAAGCAAACAAGATTTGCTCTTGTAAAATCTAATGTTCAGTAAAAGCACTAATTTTTTGAGTATTTATGTTGATGTTATGAAAAGTAAAGTATTTTGTGGTGAATATTTATGTTCATGGCTTTATGCCTTTGGTAAGATTTGCTTATGGGACTGGAAGCACTTAAGTAATGTGTCCAGAAGCTTTTTTCATGTATTACAATATTAAAGGGAAAGGAAGACAAAGAGTTGTTCTGACCAGGAGATTCTTGTAGAATCCTGTAGACAAAAATTTTAAAATGAAAAGGGCAAAAACATAATTAACTAGAAAGCTTTTATTTTTATTTTATTTATTTATTTATTTGACACACAGTCTCACTCTGTTGCCC